GGGAGGCCAGTCTGTGTCCCACATTAAATTGGGGACTTCCCAGCAGGAGGCTCCCCTCTTCAAACCGAGGGAATCTGAGGGCAGGAGCTGCGTCTCCCCTGCTCAGACTGGGGGCTTTTGGAGGATCGTCCTAGCCCCTCAGTGGTGGGGGCAGGAGGGAGCCCTGGGCAGAGCACTGATGGAACATCCCCTCTGACCGAGCAACCACAGTTTCTCTCCCTGTCCGCCTTCACTGCTGTATCTCAGGTGACAGATGCAGGTTGTTGCCTTCACTCCCTGCCTTAGAGATCTCACCTGCCACACTCAGTTGCCAAGCCCCATCTCTCCCCGCTTGCCTTCTTCCCCATGTCAGGAGCTACCCCAGTTTCCACCGCCCAGCTCCTGGCACCCTCCTTGCAGCAAAACAGGGCAAGAGGAAATGGAATGGAGAAGGCCCTAGCCCAAAATGCCCAGCCCCTCTTCCAGCTCTGACCCTGTGTCCTCCTGGAGCTCCAGGCAGCCCTTGCAACGACCTCTGAGACCCCGGGCAAGGTGGGGGGACCTGACCTCCTGATGCCCCATGGCCCTGTGGGACCTCCCCCTTCATCGGGCGTCTCTTTGTCTCTTCCCACCTCAAGATGCTCAGGCCCAGGCTGCTAAATGCTCTAACAACCTGAATGACTCACATTAGAAAACACTGCCAATTCAGTGGAAAAAAATCTCAACTTCACAACACAACCAAGAGTCGCACACGTGCACCTGAATACACATTCCACTTCCTGGCTTCCTGGCCCACACCTGAGTGCTATTTTCCACCATCACAGCTGTTTGGGAAGGATAGGTCAGGTGAACGGCAGCAGACGGCTGCATTTGGGTGCTTCTTCATTGCTTAAATTATGGGGGAAAATCCTGTCTGAGTCTCTCAGAACTTGGGAAGGACTCAGGGAGAAAAGAATCATAAATAATCTGTATGAGCCCTTATGGGCCAGGCATTGTGCTAAGAATTTAATCTTCACAACAACCCTACAGTGTTACCACTCTTATTATCTCCATCTGAACAGATGAGAAAACTGAAGCTTACAGAGGTTAAGTCACTTGACCAAAGCCATAAAGCCCAGTAATAGTGGAGTTGCTGGAATGGGAGCTCCCGTCTCCTGGACTCCAAAGTCGAGGCTACTGACCACTAAGCTATCTACTGCCTTCCAAAAGGATCAGGGAACGGGGTAAAGGAGAGGTGGGAAGGCAGCAGAGGGAAAGATGAGGAGGAGGAGGAAGAGGCTGGGGACCTGCAAAGTGGCCTGGGAGCCCTGAGCATCACCAGCCCTGCCCTGGGAGGGGAGAGGAAGGCGCTAGACACGTGTGGAAGTGGAAGGACAGAGTTTATATTAAGAGGCCGGGTCAGGGTCACAGAGCAGTGGTGGCACAGAGCAGGGATGCAAACAGGCTCTTGGCACCTCAGCCTGCTGCGCTGGCACCTTCGGAAGAGCCACAGTGCAAGTGGCAGCATTGGCAGGAAAGAGGGCTCCCACCACTGCAAACCTTTCCACCCTTTGTTGACTTATCCTTTCATTCATTCTTTCCACGAATAATTGAGGGAGCTCAAAAATTCATCTGGAAACAATCATCTTCACTGTTATTGACAAAGCAACTGAGATGAGAAAGGTTAGAGACCTAAGCGTCTGCCTCTGTAAAAGGCCTCTTTCTGCCCCAAACCAGCTGGGAGACATGTCCAAGTGCAGTGTCTTCCCCAGGGACGTTCACTTGGGCGCCTTGTGCTGCGCTGCAGCCTCTGTGAGGACGCGGATTTGGACGCAGACACAGATGCGGCAGGGTCGAAGTTCAGACCAGCACTGGGTCATGGGATTAGAACTAGGGATGGATGGGCTCAAGGTCAGGATTAAGGCTGGGGTCGGGGTCAGATTAGTTCATTTTCAGTCAGGATTGTAGATGGAGCTGGGGGCAGGATGAGGGATAGGGTTACAGGGAGGGATGGGATCAGTATTAGGGATACGACTGGGGTAAGGATCAGAGCTGGTCATGTGGTCAGAATCCCTGGCTGACAGAATCAGCAGGAAAACAGAAATCCAGCATCCCCACCCCCTCCATCCTTGCCCATAGCTGCCCCCTGCTGCCCCCAGCCACCTCACCCCCGCGGGGGAATTGAGGGACCCAACTTTCCACCACCCACAGGCACACCCAGCATTAGTCTTCCCACCCGGCCCGACCCTCAGGGAGGGGACCACAGGCACCGGGCCGTGGAGGGACTTGAGGTTGCGGGCCGGGGGAGGAGGAAGTCGCATGCAACAACCCAGTGCTCCACCACTTCCTTTCAGGCGCCTTGAGCCCCTTCACTCTCCTCGGCCAGCTATGACTTGCGGTCCACAGAGCCCAGCTCTTCATGGCAGCCCCTGCCATGCTTCCAGCTCAGCCAGATGTTCTCTGTGTCTAGAAAGCCTCCCCAGATACAACCAAACCAAGAGGCTCACAGCAGGGCTAGGAACCAGAGTCCCCATTTCGGTTGGGGGGGCCCACACATCCCAATTTGCCCAGGGCTGTCCTGGTTCACAGGAGTCACCTGGCATAATTATTAACAGGGCCCCCTTTCACTTTTAAAAATGATCAGGTTTAGTCAACAAATCATCTGGTTGCCCCTCATATAAGGGCCTCCTACTTGGATAAGAATGTGAACCAGAAAAACACCACAAGGTACCGTCACCCCATCTGCTCAGGACCTGTTTGGAATTTGCACTTAACTTCTCTGATTACTTCTTTGTAACCTTGGTTTGCTCAGCTGTAAAAGGGGACAATACTGTCACATTTTGGTGAGAAACAAATGAGATTTTGTAGGTAAACTGCCTCGCAGAGTGTCTTCTGTGGATGAAGACTCAGGGAAGCGCCTAGGAGACGGGTGGAGAAAGGGGGAAACCAGTTTTGATCCTTTTCTAGAGATACCAGCTCAGTGAGTTTGGTTTGAATGAGGGGAGGACGTGGAGTTCCCCATCGAGGGAGAGAGTGTGGGTAAGAGCTGCTCTCTGCCTCCCTGGCAGGGAAAGGGTCAGAGACAGTTCAAAGCCCACCAACCCCTCAGACCACAATTAGGTGGGCGTGGCGGGCCCCAACTTCAGAACCCCTCCCCACCCTTGGGGAGCCCCGAGGCTGCAAGTGCTCAGGGCTTAATTCCTGTGGGCCGGGTACCCAGGCTGAAGGAAATTTGAAAGAAAGGAAGTAGGGAGGGTGAGAAGCGTGAAGGGGGAGGCCCTGGGCCCGCTGGTTCTGGGGCATGAGACTAAGCTCAGGGTACACGGGGGTCTCCGACTTCCGTCCTGACTCCCCCCCCCAACTCTGCCCTTGACCTCCGTGCAGAGTTTCCATCCTCTCTCTCCGAGTTCACACTTCTCCCCCACCACTAACCGCAGCCCACGCAGAGGCTTGTGGGTGGAGAGAGGGGTGGGGGGTGGGCGGAAAAGCGCCCAGGCTGCAACACTGAGCCCCCCACGTTGGGGAGAAAGGCCTCTAGTCCCCCCCATCACTCATACTGAATCCCCATCTTCCCACAGGGTGCTCCCCTCATGGATGAACCCCCTCACTCACTGGCCCTCATTCCCCTGACGGAGCCCCCTCAAGGAGCCCCCTCTCCACAATCTCCCTTCCACCCTCAGCGCTGGCCACACCCTCAGGAAGGCCGCACTCAGGACCTGTGACCCCGAGTGGGGCCCAGAGGGAAGGAGGCCATGGGTTCTGCACCTCTCACTTGGCTGGGACCCTCCTGGGGTCCTCAGCTCCCTGCACATCCTCAGGAGCAGGTGGTCTCCACTCCTACCTCCTCCTTCATTATTGCCTTTGGCCCGCGAGTCACCCTCAGCGGCTCTTCCTCTGGGGCAATTTGTCCCCCTGGGCACCGACCACCAGATGCTGGGCTGACCGAACAGCAGGGAAATCTTGACCGGAGGTCAGACCTGGAGGGTGGCAGTCTGGTCTGGGTGCCCATTTTCAGAGGAACATTGATGACCTGGACCTGTGAGCCAGGGGCTGGGATGGGAGGGACTGGAAGCCTTGGGGCTGGGGCTGCGTCCCAGGACTGCCCCCTCAGCACCTGGGGGACTCACTGAGGGGAATTAATAGAGGCGGTGGCAGTACAAGCGAGGGCGTGTGAACAGCCAGGACTCCCACGGTGAAACTGGCCACCTGGAGGCATCTACACGGAGACGGGGGAGCACCTCTCGGGGGTACACAGGGTCCCCACAGAGGATTCGGCTGGACTCAGGAAGCTCTGTGGCTCCCTCTTTAGCCTTCACACCTCCATCTGGATAACCCACCCCTGCAATCCTCTCCTAGGAAGGTCCACATGTAAAATTCCCACTAGCCTGGAGGCTTAGGCAGAAGTAGAAAGAAAAGGAGGGGCTGGTGGGGGGAAAGGAGCTGGAGTAGATGACTGAGGCCTCCTCAGGTGGGAGGACGGGGAGGGAGCACTCGGGAAGCAGCTTATTACCAAAAGAAGCTGAGTTTATAAGAAAATAAAACTACCGGGGGAGTGAGGACTTCCTCTGAGAATTAACTCTTGCCAAGCTGAGGCTATCCAGAGATGCTTGGCCTGAAAGGAAGTGTGAAGCTGGGCAGGCAGGGCCCAGCCGGCTCTAGGGGTAGACGTCCAGGAGGCCCTGATGCAGAGCCCAAGCCGTGGAGACCGAGGGGAGGAGCTGGAGGTCACCTCAGGTAGGAGCAGCCCCGGAGCAGAGCCCAGCTCCCTCTGGCCAAAGGGACAGGGTCGGGGCGGGTGGGGGTGCCTTGGGGTGCGAAGGAAAAGCGGCTGTCTGGGCCAGAATTAGTGGCATAGACAATATGACCTCCAAAAGCATCTGCGGGAGGGGTTCTCTTCTACTCACTCGCTCACGTGGCCCCTTGGGACCCACCCCCCCTTCTCTGCCTCCCCCACATCACCTTCTGCCACTTCTCCCAGCAACGACGGACCTCTGAGGCCATGAGGGAAGCCTGGGGCCAGATAGGTGAAGTGGGCAAAGCTAAGCCACTCGGCATCCCAAGAGGGGTCCCTGAGATTCGAAACCTGGCTGTTCGGACTCCAGCCAAAAAAAATCCTCTCTCTGGGTTCAACCAATTGAGGGAGGCTTCACTGCTGGTCTTCTAAGAGGGAGTTGGATTCAGTGAGCCATAAAGGGCCCCACGGTGTGACTTTAGGGGCAAGCTATGATTCTAGAATGTGTGTGTGTGTGTGTGTGTGTGTGTGTGCGTGCACGCTTTCCGGGTCTGGGTACACAGGCTAGGATGGACCCTGAGCCCCAGCCACAAGCTAGGGTGGACCCTCTCTGCAGAGGCCCCTAACAGCTGAGGGGTCCCGCCCATCAGTCCCACACACTGGGTTCTCACTCCCCAGCTATCACAGCCCCACCCAGGCCCTCACCCCAGGGTGCAGAGGGAGGTGAGAGGTACCCCCAACCGGCCAGAAGCCAGGAGGAAGGTGAGGAGGGAGCCTGCTGGGAGGAGGACCGGGGGTCCTGGGGCTGGGTGTGTGGTGTGGTGGAGGGTTAGCTCCTGCCCTTGCTGGGCCTCAGTCTTCCCCTCTGATGAAAGTAGGGAGTCTGTGCCACACGTCTCATCTTAGGGGAGAAGGCTTAGGCGGAAGGAGGTTTGTGCTCTATTTCTCAGAAAGTGGGAGAGGACAAGTTCAGGTGCGGATGTGAAAGGCACCAGGCTCACTGCTGCCAGGCTGCGCTCACCCTCTCCCTGGCTGCCCAATGCTGCCCCGGAGGCCCCGCTACTAGGCTTCACCCTGACATAGCTCCCTCCCCACCTACTGCTGCCTCTCTTTAATGGCAGGATCCCCAAGGGACACCCCAGCATAATACGTTCTAATTCCCTGCATGCTGCTGTATGAACTCAAGGAAGTCCATCCTCTCCTAAGCCTCAGCTTTCTCTCTCCTGAGATAGGAGACGAGGCATCACAAATCCTAAAAGAGACCATCTCCTTCCTCCTTGTCAGGGAGGAGAGGGTTAACCCAAGCGGCTGGGCCTTGTTACTGGGATAGAAAATGGGCTCCAGAGAGGCCCCCAAACTCACCAGGGGACACTGAACATAGCAGCAAAGCTTCTGAGAAAGTCTCTCTCAACACCTGACACCTCAAGAAGACACAGGCCTGGGTGCCAGAGGAAAGCAAAGGGAACCTCCCAGAACCTGAGCACCTCCAGAAGCTCGCCTTCTTCCTGTGAAGGGCGCAGAGCCACACAAGCAACCCGACAGTGTGGAAGAGAGGTCCCCCAAACAATGTGCAGGGGGAGGAGAGAATCAAAGGGGGAACCTGGAAAATGCCATCCCCGGGGGTGCAGAGGTTAAGAGGAGGAGGATTACAGAGTGACTTACTGATCATCCCCAACTCTTTTCACCCACGCCATGTCGCGCTCTGACTGGTTGGAGGCCAGATCCTAAGGGAAAGATCGAGCAGTCAGACCCCAACCTCACCTTGCCTGAACTTCCCTTCTTTACCATTCCCAGGGCTGGTCTGTACTCAGTGAGGAAGTCCCAGATCTCTAAAGTCGTTTCCAGCAGCCCCCAGACCTTCAAGGAGCTCTGCAGGTGCCAGAGCAGGGACCCCAGGTCAGCGCCCCCACCCTTTTTACCTGGGCCCGGGTCTCCTGCAGCTGCTTCAGCTCCCCCTGCAGCCGCTCACACTCAGCCTGGAGCTGCTCCTCCCGAAGCTGAGCCCCCCGGGCCTCTCCCTGGGCAGCCTCCAGAGCCTCTTCTAGCTGCCGCCGCTCCAGCTCACTCATACTCGGCGTGGGCCCTGGCCAGCCTGCCGGTAGAGGAAAGGACAATGTCAGGCTGGAACCAGCTGCTGGACACCCTCCACCCACTCCCAGATCAATACAAAGTGAAACAGGTGAGAACTGCAGCGTGAAGGATCCAAGAGAGACATCCAGGGGGTAGATATCCCAGGATGAGAGAGACCTCTACTGAGGGCAGAGAGGAACAGTGGGCTGAGCTGCTTTTTCTAATCTTTCTGGTGGCCAGGGGAGAAATAAGACGGGCTCTGGAACGGTTTCCCCGGCCAGACTCAAGTCTGAAAGCATCCTCAGGGGCCTCTCCTAATCACAACGGAAGACAGGCAGAGGGGACTCTGGGTGGGGCCGCCCTCTGCTGGCACATACAGGAATTGCATGGGAGAGCCTGGGAATGAAGGAGTTAAGGTGGGGGGGATGCCAGTGGGAGAAACTGGGGTAATAGTTGATGAGGTGAGGGGACAGTTGGTAAGGAGGGATGAGGTGATTATGGGAGAAGTTTAAGACATTGTAACGGGGTGCTGACTATCAGTCTGAAACACTGGAGGTGTCCAATAGTGTTGAAATGGGGGGGCTGGCTTGGGAACTTCAGAGTATGGAAATCAGGGGTGGCTGAGATCTCACCGTGACTCAAGCCAGATCCGCCTCTTAGTGCCAAGTAGTGCAGGTCCAGATCAGCACAGGGCGGGGCAGGGGCAGGTGGGGGGCTCAGGCTGGGGAAGGCTGCATCCCGGAGGCCTTGTTGCTGCCGCAGCTGCTGCTCCAAACCACAGATCTGCCGCAGGTGGGTCTCCACCAGGGCCCGCTATGGGGGGGAGACAAAGGGGTGAGGATCTGCATCAGGTCAGGGCACACCTGTGGGCTGCCCAAACCCAGAACTTCTCCATGTCTGGGTATCCATCACCCCCCTAAACTGAGCAGAGACCCCAGGTCACATATCCCAACTCCACTCTCCAAGTGGCCATGAGTCTCCTCTCCCAGCAACTGCAATGCAGGTGTTTCTGGCTACTGCCCCTTGCAAGGTCAGAGTTAATGCCTCTTCCTTCTCACTACCACGCAGACACACTTATAAGAACACTCAGCCCCCTGTCCAGACACCACCACACCCTCAGGAGCATAATAATTTCCATTTTCATATGTCACTTAACCACTCTGGGCTTCACCTACCTCACCTATAACATGGAGCTAACCACACCTACCTCTTAAGTAAGTTTGTTACGAGGATTAGAATGAGTAAATATATCTAAAGAGATAAGAATGATGCCTGGCACAGTTAAGTGCCATTAAGTGTTTGTGATTGTTAAGTCAAAGCATTTTTTACACAAATGCCCAACAGCTCAGCAACGTTGTTATTATTTGCCCCACTTTTCACAGGCAGGACAGAGGCTAAGTGACTTGACCCAGCTCACAGCTAGGAGTCAGCAAGAGACCATGCCTCCTGATTCCAACACCTGCCCACCTGCTCACACGCATGGCTATACCCTGACTCAGAATCACACGCAGGCCAAGGCCCATCCCAGCAGCCACGAACACTTTCAGTCACCTCTGCCCTCACCCACACAGCCTTCCAGCTCAGTGCTATAGGTGCAGGGTCAACGCAGCGTGAGCACCAAACATACACACAGATTCACAGTGTTCTACAGGGCTACTCACAGTCACCTCCTGTCACTGCATGGCCAGGATGTACACAGAGTCACTCACAACCTGTATGATACACACAACCCCACTCACCAGGCCAAACGGGCACTCACTCACGGACAGACACGAACACGGTGGGGTGCATTCCACAAGCACACAGCCAAGGTCACACCCTCAAGCACCCGGGCTCCCTGAACCTCACCATCTCCCCCAGCTCCGTCTCCAGGTCACTCTTCTCCACGCACAGCTTCTCGTAAGCCTGGATCATCTCCCCGAGCTGTTCTTCCTGCTCCTTATTCTTCTGCAACTGGACGGGGCCCGGAGGGGGTGGAGTGCAGCCAGAGTCAGGCCCATCTTGACTTGGGGGCAGAGCAGCACCCTGTGCCTCCCACCCCCACTCCCAGCACCCAGTGGAGGGGTAGGAGGAGCTGCAGCTGGTTCTAGGGAGGACCATGGCCATCTCTGATCAAGGAGATGGAAGGTCAGAAGCTTGGGAGGTTATCAGAAATGGACTGGAGCAAAGAGCTCAGGGAGGGCTCACCTCGTGCTGGAACTGGTTGAGCCGTTGCTGCAGGCTGACTTTCTCCACCTCCAGCAGGGAGCCATCCTTGATTTCATACAAAGAGAAGCCGTGCTCCTCTCCAAAGTCATTGATCAGTGGGTACTGCGGGTGGGGCAGGCCCTCAGAAGAGCTTCAGCCTTGCTGTGTCCCCATCCCACAACCTGCGTCAGAATCCTCACCTCTCCCTCCCTACTCCAGTGGGATCTGTACATCCTGATTCCCATGGCCCTGTAGGCGTCTCCCACCAACCAGATCTTTTTTAGATCCAAGGTCCAGCATTCCAAAGCAGATCCCTCCTGATCCTTTCCTGATTGGTGCTGGGGTCTCCAGAGTTCCCATCCGTCCAGAGCAGCCACATCCCTCGTGAGGGATCCTCAAGTTCCCAAGAGTCTGTACCCTGACCCCTCTTTTGGATCCCTGGAATCTCTGCCGGATCCCCAGTTCCTGCCACCCAGCAGCCCCCTCCCCTGTCACACACACAGCCAGACCCCCGTCATCTCCAGGTTCTGACCTTAATCTCGTAGACTTTGAGGCGGCGGCGGAGGGTGGCATTCTCCCTCTCCAGGCCCCCCAGCCGCTCTTTGATGTCTCCGTAGGCCGTGATCAGGGCAAAGTGGGAGGCGGAGCACATGTCCCCCCCCAGCGAGGGGTCTCCAGGGGCATCCAGCCACACCTCACTGGGCCCCAGGGCCTCCTGGGTCAGGATGCTGATGTCATCCTCAAACATGGACTCCATGGCAAGGGCCTGGGCCACAGCCCGCCCTGGGCCTCCTGGGAGAGCAGGAGCAACGAGCAACGGTGGAGAGGGTGGCCCAGAGCTTGTCCCTAATACCCCTTGTCCTGGCCTGAGGAGCCCTGCGGCCAGCTGAGATGCAGCCTGGTCCTGCCCCCGTGTCTCACAGCCCCCTCCCAGACCCATCTTCTCTTCTCTGCTGCCTTTGGGGGAAGGAGCTAGGACCAGACGGAGGTGGCGGGGTGGGGGGTGGGGTGGAGCAGTGACAAATAGGGACAAGTAAGCGAGGCCAGCAGCAGGGAAGGGCTCCTTCCGGAACCCAGGGAGAACTGTGGACAGGAGAGGGCTGCCTTCCCAGCACACAGGGCCCAGATGGGGACTGCCTTGACTCACTCCTCAGCCCCTTCTCCACCCCAGGCTTCACTTCCCCAAATACCTCTCTTCCAAGCTCCTCATGCCAGGCCTCTGGCACCCCTGGCTCCTCCCTAAGGAAGGCCCAGTGCTTCTGGGAGGGTCAGCCCCACCACTGTCAGAACATCCTCTGCTGGGCCCCCGCCCAACTCCCCGGCTTCCTCCTCTAGGATCCCAGAGTTCAGGAAAAGGAAGTGCTTCCCCCACTCACACCAGGCCGGGCGGCTGTGGCAACCCTCCAGGCCCTCCACACCCCTGACCTGGGACCCACAGGAGGTCATCGGCTGAGTGTCTGAGGGTACACAGTGGGGAAGGGGGCTCTGGGAGAGGGCCCGGCGCAGGTGGAGAGGGCTGACAGAGAATTCTGAAGCCTGGCCTGTGTGCCTGCACAGAGGGAAATGGGGAGCCCTGAGAAGGGGCAGGAATGACTCAGGGCTCCCGAAAGAGTAGGCGAGGGGGTGCGTGTGTACTTTTCCTGGCCCTGTTTATGAATGTGTGTCTGTGGTTGGCATGTGTGGGGGGAATGTGTGTGTCTGTGAATGAGTGTAGGTGTGTCACAGTCAATGAGTGCCTTAGCGGGGCTGCGGGCGGGCGGGGGGGGGGGGCGGAGGGGGTGGGGAAGTGGCCAGGAGGCCGTGTGTGTTTGTGTGTGCACGCGTGCGTGAGCGTGTGTGAAGGGTGGGCACGTTCGGGGCCGTGTCACGTGAGGCACTATGGGAATGTCCGAGGTGTGTGCGCGCGCGCCAGAGCGTGTGTGCGCGTAGGAGAGGGGGCTCCCGAGGTGTGAGTTGAGGCAGTGGGGTCCGCGACATCCCAAAATCGGGCAGCAGGAGCCTGGGGTGAAGAGGGCCCAGGCCCAGGCCCCAACACTGCCCCGCCTTAAGTGCCAGGGAAACGCGTGTGACCGGGTCTGAGTAAGGAGTGTGTGCGCGCGTATTTGTACGGCTGGCCCCACCTTTAACCCTCTCCTCCCCAGGCCCATCCCCTCTCCCCAAACTCCGCTGTCCGTGCTCACCACACTCGCCCAGACCCCCGGCTGGCCGGCCACCTCGGGCCCAACCCCACTAGCCAGGGCTCTGGCCCCTTAGCGGCCGCGACCAGTGTTTGCTTCCTCTGCATCCCCCCCCCTCGGCCCAGCGACCCCGCGCGAGAGCGACAGCAGGCGGATGGGGAGGGGGTGCCTCCTCGGCCCCGGGCCCCTTCTGCGGTCCCTTTAAGAGCCGCCCTTTAAACCCCTTTAGCTCGGCGGACAGAAACTGTCGCCCCTCCCCTCTCAGGGGCCGAGACCAGGCAGCCCCCTCCCCCACAGCCGGCCGAGCCCCGGGGCCCCAGTCCGCCGTCGCCGGGCCGGGGAAGGGGCTCCGGTTGCGGTGCGGCCTGAGGAGCGGCGGAGGAGGGGGAAAGGGGGAATGCGGACTGCCGACGCCGGACCCTTCCTCCCCGCCACCCTGGGCCAGCTGCGGGCCAACCTCCCGCCCCCTCCTCCGGTCCACCCCGCGACCCACAGGGGCCGGCCCTGGACGCCGTTCCCCTCCCCCCGCCCAGCCCAGCCGGGACTCACAGCTGCCGCCGGTTCCTGCTGGTAATCGCAGCTTACCCCCTCCGCCTGCTCCCTCCCCAGACCGGTGCCCCCACCCCCCTGGCACCGCGCTCTGCTCTCGCCCTGTCGCCGCCGGGTCTCTCCCCCCCCCCCCCCCCCCCCCCCCACCCCCCTCCCTCGCTCCCGCCCCGCTCCTCCTCCTCCGCCGCCGCCGCTGCCGCCGCCGCCGCCGCCTCCTCCTCTTCCTCCTCCTCCTCCCCCCCGGCTGCTCCGGGTTTCTCCGGCTGGGAAGGCGCCCCGGACCCCGCCGCGGCCACCACCACGTGGCAAGGGGCGGCCGGCCCCCGGCGTGCGGCCCCGCCTGGCAGCGCGCCCGGCGCCCACCAGCTCCCTGCTGCGCGGCCCATGTTCCGCGCCCCCTCCCAGACGCCTCCCATCGCAGTGTGGCTTGGCGGCGTGTGTGGGGGAGTTTGCGGACGGCGCCGGGGCTCAGGAGGTGCTTTGGAATTTGCTTTGGGGCTGTATGTTTTGGGGAAAGTGAGGTTCTTTATTTGGATTGTTTTGGTCTTTGATCTTTTGAGAAGGAAAATATTAGACCTACTCTTCATAGCTCTTGGGAGAGGGGGCATTGCAATGATAATGAATACAATGACCTTAGGTGCAGTCGGAGAGATTAGAGTTAAATCAGTAACTTCTTTGGAAGTGAGAGTGAGCTAAGAAGATCAAAGTTCATTAGGAAGGGGGACAGCTTTCCTCTCCCACACACAGTCCCCTCCCCCCAACACACAGACGCACCCACAGGCCAGCGAAATGAACAAACAACAGATTTCACCCTTCCACAAAGATTATTTGAGCACCGGCCAAACTGCTGGGCAGGAGTCACAAGTTTTTGCCACTTTCCCACTGTGTGACCTTGGGCAAGTTACTTAACCTCTCTGAATTAAATTGGAGTTAATTCCTGACCTGGGCAACTGTAGGAGAGGAATGGGGACCAGAACTAAAGGTGCTCTGTGAATCCTCAGGGGGGTGTTAATAAGTCATTTTGGTTATTCCCTGATGGATTAAAAAACCATGGGCAGAGGCATGGTCAACCTTGATGCAGGTAGGGAATGATCAAGGGAAACTCTGGAGGACTCTGGCTAACCCCTAACAAGCCAACCCTGGAAAGAGAGTATAGGCTAAGGAGGGGGCTTTTGGTAGGCTCAGAATTTAGCTTGAAGCCTCCCATCTGGAGAGAGGGTTCAGGCTGCTGAACCTGAGCCTATCTTTTTGGCTCCTGGAGGAGGTGGGTGGTGAATCTGGAAGGGGCAGGAGAAAAGGTTTCTTGCTTGCTGTGAGCTTTGAGAAGCAGCAGCAGCAGTTCCCATTTTGTCCCACTGTAGGGAGAAGATTGGGCTGGAGGGTGAGCTCCTCCTCCTAGGAGAGCCAGCAGGGGCTGTGTACTCTTTATTTTCAAAGAAAGGGATTCTCACTGGCTCCCTTCCTCCTCCTCCTCCTGCTGGGTTCCCTTCCAGTTGCTCCTGCTAGCCTTTTACGGTCCAGAACACTAGCTTTCTCTGAGCCATGTGGGACAACCCACCTGCCCTTTAGATATAAAGGCTACCCACAGGTGTCATCTCCCTTAAGGCTGCACAGGTTCTCTTCTAAAACTTAGAAGACCAGGCAAAAGATTGGAGGCTGGGCTTAAAGGTAGTGGGGCTGTCTCTGAGGCCTCAATGAGTGTGGATTTGGCCATCCACTGGCCTGAAACTGACTGGCAAGCCTTCCCTCACTGAAAAGGGTAATGGGTCCAGGTACCATCTAAGCACACACTCTACAGGATGAGTTGTCAGGTCCTGATGCTGCTGGGCTGCTCAGGGTACAAGCCTGAGTCACCCAGCCGGGCACAGCCCAGTGGTTTATCTGGGATTCTAAGCAGTTGGTAGCAAAAGCCCAACAGAGATTATGCCTGGTTCAGGTGCCCCCAAAATACCTCCCTGGAATCTAGACCTGATCTCATTGCATTCTCCCTGTTTTCTGGTTCTGTTGCTCATATTGGACAGACAGTTCTGAGAACAGAAACTGTATCCCATCTGTCTTCATAGCCCTACGTGCCCAGATAGTATCTGCTCACTATACACTTACTTATTCAACAAAGATTTCTTGAACACCTGTTATGTGCTGGATGCTGAGAATACAGTGATGAGCATGTCTCTGAAGGACAAACATGTATCTCCTGCCCTCTTGGAGCTTATGTTCTAGTAGAGGAGTCAGACAAAAAAAGAAAGATTAATAAATGAAACAATTATAAATTGTGATAAAAAGTAAAAAGACACAAGGTGCAACAATAGGGAAGAATTGGAGGGAGGTATCTGCTTTAGATAAAGTAGAGAAGTTCTCCCTAATGAGATAATGTTTAAGCTAAATCTTAAGGGGTAGGAAGGAGTGTTCCTGGTTGAATGAATAAGTGAGTGAAGTTGTGTAACTTTGGATGAGTTACTCTCACCTCTGTAGGCCTGTTTCTTCATCTGAGAAAACTGGAGATTGGTCTGAATTCCTTCTAAGAACCCATGATATTATCAGGGCTCATCATGATAGAGACAGAAAAAGGTAAAACCCAGGGTCCTGGTGAAAGGGGAAGGGTGGTAGAGGGAAGTGAGAGGAGAAGAGGGAATGTGGTGGACAACTGGTCAGGCTCGAGTTGTGCGACATTTGTAAATGGCATTCACAGGTGCTGTGAGAGGACCTTTCTCCAGTAGTTACTGGTAGGAGAGACAGTGCAGAAGCAGGAGCCAAGTCACCCCTGCATGTTTCCTCCTTGGAAACCATCAGGGGGAGACTGTTTCCCACTCCCAGGACCCTTGCTTTGGAAAAACACTTTAACCTTCCTGTCCCATTCTTGCCTGAAAAGAGTAGGAGGAGGTGGCGTTAGCAGCTGGCAAAAAATTGAATCAAAATAAAACGCAGATGACTCAGATAGAATCAGGCTGGCAGAAAAATTGATTAGACGCATGTGACAATGCAGGATCCGGTTGCCACCTTAGCCCTTCAGTTCTAGATCCTAGAAAATTAGCGTTTGCTGCGGAACCATCCTGGGATTCCAACTGTAGCTGCTAGTCTTCCATCAAATCAGAGGTTTGGGCAGTGGTGGAAAGTCTCATTCCTTCCCGCAGATCCTCCAATTTCTGTGGAGGTAATGCACATCCTCCAATCAAATTTGCAAGGTTTGGGTGGAAAGTTTATAACTATTTCTGCTTCATATTCTCCACGACTGTGTTCATTTCTGCTCTCTCCCAAACAACTAAAAATTAGTCTACAGGCATACCTTGTTTTATTGTGCTTCGCTTTATTGCACTTCTCAGATACTGCATGGGTTTTGTTTTGTTTTTTAACATCTTTATTGGAGTATAATTGCTTTACAATGATGTGTTAGTTTCTGCTGTATAACAAAGTGAATCAGTTATACATATACATATGTTCCCATCTCTTCCCTCTTGCGTCTCCCTCCCTCCCACCCTCCCTATCCCACCCCTCTAGGTGGTCACAAACCACCGAGCTGATCCCCCTGTGCTATGCGGCTGCTTCCCACTAGCTATCTATTTTACGTTTAGTAGTGTATATATGTCCATGCCACTCTCTCACTTTGTCACAGCTTACCCCTCCCCCTCCCCATATCCTCAAGTCTATGCTCTAGTAGGTCTGTGTCTTTATTCCTGTCTCACCCCTAGGTTTTTTACAAATGGCAATTTTGTGGCGACCCTACACTGTGCAAGTCTATTGGGACCATTTTTCCAACAGCATTATTATTATTTTTTTTAATATTTATTTGGTTGCTCCGGGTCTTAGTTGTGGCACACGGAATCTTTAGTTGTGGCATGCAAACTCTTAGTTGCAGCATGTGGGATCTAGTTCCCTGACCAGGGATCGAATCTGGGCCCCCTGCATTGGGAGTGCAGAGTCTTAGCCACTGGACCACGAGGGAAGTCCCCCAACAGCATTATTTTTAAATTAAGGTATGTACATTGTTTTTTTACACATACTGCTTTTGCACACTTAATAGACTATAGTAAATATCTTTTTTTTTTTTTTTTTTAATTTGGCCACGCCACAAGGCATGTAGGATCTTAGTTTCCTGACCAGGGATTGAACTTGCGGCCCCTGCGTTGGAAGCGCGGAGTCTTAACCACTGGACTGCCAGGAAGTCCCTAAATATAACTTTTTCTATGCACAGGGGAAACCAAAATATTGGCATGACTCACTTTATCGAGATATTCACTTTATTGTGGTGGTCTGCAATGGAACCTGCAGTATCTCTGAGGTAGGTATGCCTGTATTCAATTTTTTTTTTAATAAATTTATTTTTGGCTTCGTTGGGTCTTCATTCATTGCTGTGTGCGGGCTTTCTCTAGTTGCGTGAGCAGGGGCCTACTCTTTGTTGCAGTGCGCGGGCTTCTTATTGCAGTGGCTTCTCTTGCTGTGGAGCACCGGCTCTAGTCGTGTGGGCTTCAGTAGTTGTGGCTCGCGGGCTCACTAGTTGTGGCACATGGATTCTAGAGCGCAGGATCAGTAGTTGGGGCGCATGGGCTTAGTTGCTTCGAGGCATGTGGGATCTTCCCGGGTCAGGGCTTGAACCACTGTCCCCTGCATTGGCAGGTGGATTCTTAACCACTGCGCCACCAGGGAAGCCCCAAAGCCATGTCTTAATTCTCTTCGTCAGGATGGTGATAGGCTGCCTCTCTGCATCCAGAGCTCAGGCTGGGCACCAAAGCCGAGACGTACTTTGCTTTCAAACAAGAAGGTATGTTTCACACACACAGCTAAGCTCAGGAACTTATGGCTTAGGAGCACCTGTGAGAGGAAACAGTTCAGGCCTCCTACCCGCACTGCACTGCCCAGGGTCGGCTGACAGCGCAGGGGTAATTCAGACATGGAGCTTACTCAGCAGGCTGTGGCCTTTTGGGCCACTAGGCACCAGCATCCACCCTGCCCCCCAGCCTGGTTCCCAAAAGCTTCTGGCTCAGAGGGAAGATGAAGCAGAAATGCAGGGAGACGACTCAAATCCCAGTTGGGAGGAGAGCTGGCTTTAGGGAAGTATGCCACCTCCCAGCAATCCTTAAATTGAGTCTGATGGTTGACAAAGGTTAACAATGGATGTCACTATAGAATTACCGCAAAATGACTTTGCCATTTAATTCCAAAGCCCCTTCATCCAGGGCTCTCCCTGCTTGTTACCTGGAAGCTTGCTGGGAGCAGAGGCTCATCTGCTCATCCTCTAACCCTGCATAGCACACAGTCTGCAACAGCCCAGCAGGACAAGCACAGCCTATGGAGTCGGGACTGCTTGGCTAGCCCACGTGATTTTGGCAAGATTCTTGCCCCTTCTGTGCTTCTCCTCTCTCATCTGTCAACTGGGACTAAAATGGTGCTTTTGTTAAAGGGTTGATGAGGGTTACTTTCATTATTCTATATAAGACGCTTATTACAAGCCTGGCAGCTGGTAATACATAAAATCAACACTGTATGTCTAATTATTGATTAATCCTGTTCCCATTCCTCCAGTTAACCCAAGGTTAAGAGGCTAGCCTGAAGTCATCCAGCAAACGAGGAGGGTAAGAGTTAGGTGCCCAAGTGTCTTGAGGCTCTGCCATTCCCAGGTTTCTGGATGTTCTGCCCCTCAAAGGCTAAGTGATGCCATTTCAGAAACTCCCTGAACTGTACTGACACGTCATTAGTTCAACAAATACTTACTGAGGGTCTCCTGTATGTCAGGCACTGCTCTAAGCTGGGGAAAGACAGTCAAGGTCACCAAATTTGGGAGCTTTCATTATAGTTGGGAAAACTGGCAATAAATAAGCAACAAATATACCTTTAGACAGTGTTGTGAAGGAAACGCATGGCACAGCACAAATATGTACAGCATGGATCCTTGTTTTGTATTACTAAGATACCGACAGCATCTGTCTAGGACAAATGTGAGGAAAGCTTGGGTTTTGGTATGACAGAACTGGGTTTGAATTCGAGCTCCATGTGACCTTGGTCTGATAAATTAATCTTTCTGCTCCTCATTCCTATATATTCCCCTATACGGAACTCTGTTAAGGTTGCTGTGGGAATTAAGATATAATACACATAAAATCTTCTCAGTGTTTACTGTTTTTTCACATCAGACAGGTCAAGCTGGAATCCTTGATGAGGCCAGGTGGAACTGTAGCCTTGTACTGTATGTACTTTTTCAGTGTTTGTTGAGGAGGTGGGTATATGGGAACAGGGAATTACCTGGAGGGCTGCTGGAAAAAAAATTCTTAGGAGAAGCAGTTCTTCCTTACCATTTGATAATGAACCGATACCATTCTTTCCTCTAAGTATACCTTCAATGGAGGAATATTTAACGCAGTCTAGTCAAGAATTACAAGTTACCCTCTATAACCCAGTAACCTCCAAATTTGGGTACAGAAAGAAAATATTAGAACTCCTATTTATATTTATTTTTCATATAATTGCTTTTTAATTATCTATTTTTGTGTCTTGTTACACAATATATGGGTACAGTAGTACAGGTATATAATTTATCAACACATGGGGGTACGCATGATCAAAAATTCCTTACTGCAGGGGTGTGCAATTAGAAATGGTGAAAGGCCACATGGAGGCTAAGGTAGGAAAATGAAGGTCTGCCCTCATTTTACTTGCCCAACATAAACTAAGAAAGTGCATTTTTTCATAAAGTAGCCTGCAGGCATCTCGCTGCACTAATAAACAGCAGGGTGAAGGGAAGGACCCAGTTTCTTAATCTCAAGTCAGTGTTCTATCCTCTACAAGTCTCTAGGGGGGGAAAAGTGGAAGCAGAAATTAAATACACGCTGCAAACTAAGTAAAAATCCAACCTTTGGATAAGCCATTAAATAGACGAGATCATTAGGCTGCAAAATATGCACAAGACAGAGGACAATCTCCAGCAGCTTCAGATCTCTCTGGACAGGAAACCTCCACATAGTCATTTTTCACTACCTCATTTGTAGAAAACTTTCATTCATTTCCCATTGTACTACGTAGAGCTAATTTTTAAGACAGATGTGTCCTTCCTCTCCCCAACTCACACATCTATCACCACACGCACCAGCTTCTTTCAAACAACTCATTTCACCTCCAAGGAGGTGACACCGTCTGGAACCAAAAATGAAGCGGCAAAATGTTGAAAATAAAAATAAAGTGGACTTTATTTAGAAGATAAAGGTGGTGGTATCAGTTTTGGTTAATAAAGTTGGGCTCAAGTGTTTTAACAGGTCTTTACTGCCATCACAGACTGGCATGCCAAGGGCATTCTGAATGCCAATTACAGACTGAAGTTGTTTCAAAATCCAAGATGCTGTCAAAATCTGATGATGGAGCTTGGATTTGGATTTTTTTCTTAAAGTTGGACTGACACATTTCTTATATATGAGTGACTAGATTACTTGGTTCTGAAAATGAAAACACTACACTGAGCAGTTCCCCTCCTCCACAAGTCCGTAAGGCAATGTTGCAGTTGCCTCTGACAGCCAAAATCTCAACATTTCAACAGGGGAGCTAAGAGGAACTGGGAAAATGAAAAGCAAAATTAATAAATGTAATTGTAATTGATATAGGCAGCTGCCACTTGTGGCAAACCAAAGCCTAGTCCGATGCCTATTTTCTTCACATTTGCACTGACATCTTACCAGACGGTAACTACATTCTTCAAGGAATGTGCCAAGACTAGAGTGGGGAAGGCCCAGACAGTGAGTGGGCAGAATGCATTTTGCATCCATTTGCCTTAGGTGGTACAATTAAGGACAAATACCTAGTGGGAAGACCCACTAGCCAAAGGTAACTAGAAAAGAGGGTAATAAATGCATAACCAGTGCAGAGTAACTGCGAGGCACCAAGACCACAGTCCAACCAGCCCATTTTCCTCCTCTCCATCACTGAGTGGATCTGGGAGAAAGCATTAATAACAGCACTTGTCAACTGCTTCCCTGGAACAAAACATGACAAAACACACGGGTTTTGTTTTCATTATGGTTCTCGGTGTACTTTATTCTCCTGCTGTCTAGCTAAGCAGCCCACACAGGACAGAAATGGGTAGCACTGAGGAATGATCAGATTTTTTTTTCTCCCCAATATTCCTGCCCCCTCCCTAAGCCCTGACCAACCCTTATCAGGAATGGTTAGTATATCACCCTTTCCCTCAAGAACAACTAAAATTTAAACAAGGCATTATAGGGCCAGGTCTCTTCAGAGGGCTCAGGAGCTGGTGTGAGCTCTTTATTCACAATGGAGTGTCTTTCCTTCAAACACCTGGATTTTTTTTTTGTACACTGGTTCATAGATCGGCACTTGACTTTGAACCTGGCACCAAAAGGCACAATATCTGATACCCTGTACAAGAGCTATTAGAGATGCTGCCGTATGGATGGGCAAAACTGAGCCAATCCCGCTTATGAATGGAAGGCTTGAACAGGGAGTTGGCAAAGAGAAACATGTAAGCCCATATTTTTTGCTAGAGTGGAAATGAAAGTGGGAAATTAAGGTCTTTTTAATCCTCCAAATACCTGGAAGCAATTTAAAAATCTTTCTTGGTGCTTTTGAAAGCAGCATATTCAAAATGCCAGCAAAAACTAGTAACTGCAGAACCAAAAGGGGATCAAAGCTTACCAACATCCCTCCTTATTGCTGAAAAAGTCTAAAACCAAAATTCAGGGTGCCCTGTTTCCTTGTAAAAGGGAAAATAATTAAGTCTGATTTATCATCATAGCACATCACACTTTAAAAAAAATATTACAGCGTGTGACCAGGGGAATGTTTTGACACCATTTTATTAATCTTCAACTTCAGTGGAAAAATATAACCTTTTTCAAGTGCCATTTTCATCACAAGAGTTCTAGCATATATATATATATGTGTATATATATATACACACATATATATTCCTTTGTTTTGATTACTTGGTTTTGAAGTGCAGCAAGAGACCAATACCGCATTATAATCAATCAAATAAAAGAGAACAGAAGGCCAAGCAGTTTCCAAATGGTTATTTTATCAGATTGTTTAAACATTAAATTTATCCTTGTTTGCAATCCAAAATAGTTACCTGAAATTTGCTGTTTGTGTTTACTTTTATGGTATGTTTGTTTTCTAAACTCTTTGGCACAATTTTCTGGGGGCGTTCAGACTGCCAAGATACATGTCAGGAGAGAACTTTTCTTTTGTGCTGCCAATTATGAGCATTTAAATTTTGGTTTGTTGGGTTGTGGCTTTCTTTTGTTTTCGAAGTCTGCATTCTTTATTTGTAACTGTATTTTTATTTTTTCTATATCCTCTAACTCCAGAGTTCCCCCCCCACCCCACTTCTACATTCACAGTTGAACCATATTATTAGGAAAGGCGCCTTGATGAAAAGATCAGGGTGGGAGCTCTGACCATTCGTCAGTGAATTACCTAGAATTAAAAAAAAAAAAAAAAAAGAAAAGAAAAAACCCAAAAAACAAAACCCAAGAGCGTCTTTCCTTTTTTTTCGTCTTATATCTCTTGTGCTGCATCAGTAGACAGAACTTCAGTTAGTTTCATGAAATGCAACATCCTAACCTCTTTTTTTCTGGGAAAAAGAAACTGCAATGACTTGAAGTTGAGAATGTGGATACCGCCTCACTCACACACACTCATTCTCAGACTGTAAAGAATCCCTCACCCTCCTTTCAGCCAGCACGCATACAGTACCAGTACCATGTGGCAAAGGTACACCAAAGGTGGGCTTGAGACCCAGGCTCCATCTTTCTCATCAGTAGCAAAGGCCAGGATGCCTTTTACAACAAAGCACCACAGCTGAACCCAGTCCCTCCTCCTCTCCCCCAAACTAGTCATTCCACTCGGCACCGGCCAAAAGACAGAAAAGCTAGTTCTAGCCTCTCCTGGGAAGAGAGAGCTTTCTTTTTTTTTTTTTTTAAGTAAATCCACCATTTTTCTCTTTTCCAAGATGGCCGACATTATGGTTTTCTACGAAGTCAGTGATTACTTAGCTCACTAACAGCGCTGCTGTTGATGGCTGCAGCTGCTGCTGTGGCAGGATTTTCAATGTGGTGTGTTTTCAAGCCTCACTCACTCATCCTCTCATTCCCAAACATTCAGCATCCGTGCACACTCCTCACTTCCGGGTTTTTCAAAAGATTGGAGATTTCCAGTGGGGGTCTCAGGTTATCATCCCAATGGTAACAGATCTAAAAACAGATTGGAAAAAAGGTCAATTTTTGAAATCCCATATAGCCAGTAGAGCCAAACACCTCTCTGATTCCTACAATTAAGTGCTTATAGACCTGAATGGAATTTGTCAACTTTTCAAGGACTGATTATTTTTATTATTTTCCTATGTGCCATCTACCTGCTCTCATTAGCACTTACGAAGGGTAGGAAACTGAAAAGATAAAACTCAAAATAGCCAATTTTACTGAGATCTGTGGTGTAAGATAACTCACTGAGTGAGAGGAAAATAAATTAAAACTACATTTCAAAGCAGAGGTCAGACAACTCCGACTTTGGATATCTTCTGTAAAAGAAAGCAATGTCTCAAAGCACTGCAGTAAAGAAATAAAAGAACATGAGGAAAGAAATAAAGAGTAGAAAGAGAATTTTGGGAAAATGCCATTATCGATGACTTTATTAAGGTCCAAAATGATTTGGGGACTTCAGTGAATTCTAGTTATGTAATTTCTGTTCTTTATCACCATGAGGAACCAAAAATGTGGCTCAAGGAAAGATTGGCTGCCTGACCCTTCCACTAGTACAAGGCTGAGGAACAAAGGCCTGGCTCAGAAGCACTATATGGGAAAGAGTACAAAACAAAACACCTAAAGAAAGCCCTTGTCAGAACAGTCTAAAGAAAATGTACCTCCTCCCCAAGAAAGAAGAAGAAAGAGGGCAGTGGAGACAAGCTCTTACCAAGCTTGGTTCTTCAGTTTCCTCAGTTCTTTTGTTGCCCATGTAGCAAGGGTTTTTGCTTTGTTAGTCTTCGATCTCCGTCCTTCAGTTAACAGTTCATGGATCATTGGCCTAGCTTCTACTAATTTCAGTACATCCTTCCCAAATGCTGTACACAAGTCCCTGTGCAAAGTAAACACACCTGAAAATGGGCTCCTGGCCCTACAACAAGATCATGTTTAGAACCTTCCGAACCAGTGCTAAGCTAGCTATAGGTTTCTTGGTATTTACCTACTTTTTAAAGCTGGAAGAAATTTTAAAGATAAGTAAGTCGAACACCTGCCCTCAACAGATTAAAAAAATGAGGTCTAAAAAAGTAGAATAACTTACCCAAGGTTCCACAGCTAATTCATGGTAAAATGAGAACTAGACTCCAGGTCTTTGAGCTGCTCAAAACCAATGTTCTTTCTTCTAATGATACCTCAGAAACCCTCAGTAGAGGAGGCTAAACAGAGGCAATTTGTTGACCAACATCAGAATATGGGATGGACATAGATCTGATGCTGCTTCTATACCTCTGAGAGCTCACTTCATAAGACTTTGGTGGGGAGAAATTAGAAATCTGGAGGGTCTGAAATGAGATTAGAGCTAAATTCTGGAATGAATTATTATCTGAGAACTCAAAACAGGACATGATGGGTTCTATTAAAGAAAGAAATCCCCTCTGTACCAAAAAGGTGGGTAATTGCCATCCAGGCTACTCTCAATATTCTTTACTACACGTCTTCTCATTTTCCGTGACACATTCTATTCAGCTATCAGAAGCAGGGTATAACCTACCCGATCAGTCCAGCAGCACAAGCTACTACTCCGTCTGTATGATCCTCATCTCCAGCAATGTGGTCAATGAAAGACAGAATAAATTCTACTCTGGGTTGTACCAGCATCACATCCGCTATAAAAGAAAGAGGTCTGATGAGGTTGTCCCACATTTGGCAGGACTATACCCTGTTTCAAAATTCCCAAATACTCTACTCCCATCAGGCAGGTTTTGGGCTGGAGAACTAGTTGCATACAGTTATACCAAATTGTTCTTCCTCAGATTAAGATGTCATTCTTCAAGTCAACAGAAGAGGCAGATACTCCTATTCTTATAAGCAGATATATATATCTGTAGAAGCACAAATGGAACCTTTCCTCTAAGCCTGTAATATCAAAGGAGTGAAGTACAAATATTTCCCCAATCAATAACAAAAACATCAGTTGATAGAGGAAATCTAATCCCCCCAATCCTTCAATTCAGATGCATGGTGGGGGTTAGGGAACTCCCACTCAGTGTTGGTACATATGCAACCAGCAGCAACAGCCCTGCTGGATCCCATCCCTTGCAATGCTCAAGAAATGTGAAGCAAGGTAGCTGAAGAAGCAGGGATCAGAAATAATAGTCTATATCTTCCCTCAAAGCTACTCCCTTCATTAGAGCACTGTTCCTCCTTCTCTTCTTTTAAGCAATAGGTGTTAGTTTACAAGTAAACTACACAATGAACACACAGCCCATTTGGCTAAGTGCACACTGGACTAAGTCAACTGGGTTGTATACTCAACGGTGTA